TGACAGACAAAGGAAAAATTATAGTTATATTATATGTTATAAAAGCAAGAAACTAGGACACTTCAAATCTAAATGTCCTGAGCTAGAGAAGGAAAAGAAAAAGAAAAAACACTCCTTTAATAAGAAGAAAAAGAAGGACCAATTATTCTCCATGCTCCAACAATTCACCAAAAAATGACCGTCGTAGATGATGATGTCATATATCATCTTCACTTTTGTTGATGACAAAAAGGGGGAGAACAATGTAAATGTTTTTGACTTTTTGACTTTTTGACATATGCTTGAATATTTCTTTGCTTCTACATACATGCTTGTTATGATTGCTTTGGTACATGCTCGTTTGTTCTGATAAATTATGTGTTAAACTTGGGAGAAGTTTTGCAGTAGAAGCATGCTTAATATTGCATATCCTCTATAGTTGATGTATGTTTCATTCGTATACTTAATCAAAATTTGAGTTTGTTGTCATAAAAAAGGGAAGTTGTTGAACTAAAGACATTTATGTAACGTTCAGCTCTTTGGTTTTAATGATAAAAAAATAATATGAATTTTGTTGTACTAATGATCCTCGAGTTATGTGCAAGAAATGTGTCCAAAGAACATCTAGCAAGAAGCCCATGTCTCTTGGATACATGCTTGTATCTCGACAATCGTCCAAAACACAAGCAATAAACATAAGAAATATGCTTGTATCTAGACAAATATTTGATCGTCCAAAGAATAAACTAAGTGAACACGCTCCTATAAAAGATTTGTCCAGCCTCCAACGCGCTGGGAATTAAACAAAGCGTCAAAACACAAGCAAGTCCAAAGCAAGTTTCATGCTCTTAATAGCTTAAGTTTTTATTCGAAACTTGAAATATAAATGTTGAACGATAATCTTCACTAATTATATATCATTTATTGTGATATTTTCTCTTTTGTGTATAAGCATAGTGACTGATCAAAAAGCGTGCTGTCCACAATTCACAATATAAAGCAAAAACACAAAAAAGATGTTCAAAATTGGAAGAACAAGGTTTAGAGAAGGCCAACCTTTTTTAAAGCAATTTTGTCTCGATCACTCTGACCAAGTTGTATATTTCGTAAGGACATAAAATGTACATATTTTATGTGTGAAGAATATCTCATGCATTAAACATGAAGTCAAAACAGACTCATGATAGCCTCTCTCTCACGACGGATATATCTTGAAGAGCCTATAAATACAAAACCCCATAAAGAAATGAACAAGAGAATCTATAAACTTAACTGTGCCAAAATTCTGCTACTTTGAGCTCTCTTCATACTTATTATTTTCTGAGTTATGTCCACCAGAGAAATAGTGTATAAACTTACTAGATTTATCATTCCATTAACAAGTTATTATACCTTAACCTTCAACTTTCTCATCTTCTCTATGAGAGTTAAGCTTGTAAACACCAACCTTACTATCTTAAGTTAAGTCTGAAGAGGCTTCCTATAAAATGTACCTTAAACTTCAACTTACACATGTTATCTGTACACGTAGTCCAAACTGAGCGAACAACATAAAAATAAAAGCGTGTTCTCATATATCATCCTCACGTTCTGAGTGAAACGAGTTGCAAACTATTATTTGCATAATATGTCGATTGTCAAAAGTTTGCAAAATTTTTCACTTTTCTGTGTTATTTTCTCTTTCACCATTAATATTATTAATAATTATAAAGATCATATATCATTATATAAATACAACATATATTGGAAAATGCTTCCAACACATTGTAACTCTTTATGTATATACAATTAAACAATTAGAATATCTAACAATATGCTAAAATAATAATTATTATCTATGCTAGTATTAAATTTGGTACCATAGCAATTGATCACATCAAACAACAATATACTATTTATATTATTATTAATTATTAATATTAACAACTATAAATAATAAATATTATTATAAGTATTATATATATATATATATATATATATATATATATTATATTGACATACTACCGACACATTGTAGCTTTTTCTGTATATACAATTAAATAATCAGAATATTTAATATTTATTATTATTATTATTATTATTATTTATACTAATATTAAATCTGGTACACTTTTCTCTATTAGCAATTGATTACATCAAACTACAATTAAAAATGCATATTATTCATACTATCAATAATGATTATAAATATTATGTATATATTATTATAACTATTATATATGAGGGGAGGGATAACTTAATTTAAGAATAATTTATGGTAGACTTACTCCACTTAATAATTCACATTTTAAATTGAATTTCAATAATCCAACATTTAAATTAAAAGTTCTTAATACATAGATCAAGTTTACAAATTTTTAAAAAATTGAAAACTATTTGATACTTTAATATATTAATTCAAATTGACGTATATTCATAAAAATATTTTATACATTAATTTGAATTTGTATAACGAAGTGTCATATAATTTTAAGACTTTGCAAAAAATTGTAAACTTGATTTGTACATTAAAAATTTCTAATTTAACGGTTGAATCCTTAAAATTTAATATAAAACATAAATTATTAAGTGAAGTAAGTTTTTCAAGACTTACTCTTGGAGTGGGGTGTGTGTGTCTATATATATATATATATATATATATATACTACCACCGCATTTAAATTTTTTTCTTTTGTATATTCCACAGTTGACCCTCAAGATAAAAATGAGAATTAAAAGTGAAATTTAGCACGAATATTATTAAATTTTGACTGTTATATCATCTACTTAATGTTATATCATGACTAACATTGTAATTTTGTCGATCAATGGATGAATATTCAATGAAGAGATCAAAATTGCAAATTTTAAAATATTGAAAGAAAAGTTGCGAAATTAAAAATAGAGAAACCAAAATTACAAATTTAATATTATAGGATGACCAAAAATATAATTGGCCATTTATCTCTAGTTCTTATCTTTTAAATAATTTATTTTGGTTATTTAATTAATTATCTCTCAAGTTTGAATCAATTTAGTTATTTTAAAATAGTTATTGTTTTCAAATTTTTAAAATAATTTAGATTTTTTTATTAATTCAAGAATAAAACTTATCTCACATCCACCTATATACATGAAAACTATTGAAACCAACTATTGTTGAAAATAAAATAAGAGTCATCAACATGATGAATTACATGAAAATAATCCAACAAACAACTGAAAAATTAAAGTCTCTATTATCATATTTTTTTGGTTATTTGTCACTATGTTAAAAAAAATTCTTTTTTATTTTCGCTATGTTTATAACTAAAAATATAGCGAGATACATACATTGTTGGTGTGAATTTTGATATATATTTTTAGATATAATAAATATAATAGCATTTTCTTCATGTTATAATATTAAGAAAAGTATAAAAAATATTCCAACCGAAATCATATTATAGTAAAAAAAATCTAAAATAGTATGATAAAATGTGATTGTTTATATTAATAAAATATTTGTATAAGGTTAATTTGTTTTTATTATAAAACATATAAACAAATATTAATCCTACTTATTATATTATAGTATATGATAGCTGTGAGTATTTTAAAATATTTTATAATAAACGTGTGTCATATTACAAATTGAAATGAAATATTGTAATTATACTACAATTTATGTTAACGTGTAATTTTTTTAATAATAATATGATAAACATGATTTTATTATCATATTCGATAACTATGGGACTATATAACTCAATGGTAAAAATAATTTAAATATATTATATTTATTCTCACTGTTCATAAATATTATTATTATAAAATAAATATAATAAATAATTGTAATAAAGTTAATATAATAATAAAGATAATTATTATATAAAAAGATAATCATACCATACTCATACTATGTATTATAAATATTAACATAAAAATAAATTATAAAAAGAATATAAAATTATACATATATTTAAAAAAAATCGCAATATAATGTATTTTACAAATTCTTATACAAGTATTTCAATTAAAAAAAAGTTATTAGTTTTACAAGAGTATTTAAATAAAAAATAGAAATACTTGAATTTTTTTATATGTTTTTAATTGTTCAAACAATTTCCCTTGTTCTAAGAACAAGGTCTTTTCTTTAATTCAAAATAATATAAATTGTATTATAAAAATAATATTTACATTTTTTAAAAAAACGCCCTAAAAATAATAAAGAAATTTACACATAGACCTTGCATAATAACTAAAAATATTAACAAATTGTCAAATAATTACTTATATTTTAAAATTTATTTTGAGAAATCAATAATTATTTATTAACAATAATTTAAATAATATTTTTAACAATTAAAAACATTTAAAAATCAAATACTAATTACAAGGTTAATTTATAACTAAAAATAAATAATTTTACAATATTAAATGTTGTTAATATTAACATAAAAATAAATTATATTTTATCAGTATTATCATATAAATAAATTATAATTATAATAAAAAAATTTAGATATGTTTTTGGACCCTGTGAAATTTTTTCCATATTTTTCATCTTTATAAAATTTGTGAACATTGTACTTGATCCCTATAAAATAAGCAAAAATTGGTTTCATTTCCAACAAAATATTTTGTTCTGATTTTCATCTCTCTAAAATTTAAATTCACTAATTTTGGTTCCTAGTGATCATTTTATGCTATACAAATATCAATTGTTTTAAAGATTTATACAAAATTTTTAGAGATGTTATATGTTGACATAATATCATAAACAATTATGAGTACTACCTAAGATAATTACTTGACTTTCTATTATACACATAAGTATTTAAAAAGAATCTTATAATAGTAGGGATAAAAAATAAATATTTTTTTTTATAGAGACTAAAATCAAAAATCGATAATTTTGTAGGGACTTAAAAAAATATGTAAACTAAAGAATTAAGGAGATATTTCTTAATTAAAAATATTATGTAATATATATATATATATATATATTTAGTATTCGACGGATACCGAATCTAGTTAGTTTATCCTAGTGAGATCATCACCTGTGTAGGCTGCTGAGGCATACTAAAGGCACTAAGATCCCCTCTGACTGAGTTGTCGCAAGAGAAAACTTCAGCTGGTTGTCCAGCAATTAGAAGGCATAACGTGCGCAGAGGTGATCCTGAAACCAACTGACGAAGTGCCATTTGTTTCACTGTATCAGCATAGAACTGCATGACAAAAGTGAACCAAATTCAGTCCACAACAAAGGACTGTAAGACACATAAGGGACAATCTAGTTCACATATTTCAAGATCAGTAGTTCAATGCAGTATTCACAGCTAACCTGATCACCAAGTTGTGAAGCAAGAACAAGTGCAGGTCCCCACAACTGACCTTCTTGTGCATACCGCAAAGCCTCCCTCTTTTTGCCAGAGACAAGAAGGTTTTGTACCTCAGAAGCCGTTGCCTAGATCAAAATAATATTCAGTAAAAGGTGCATTTTAAAAATCTGATAAGAGGGTTTGGTCGGGAGTTAACTAGTACACACCCGCATTTGAGCTTCAGAAGGCAAATTTTGCAGGCAGTGGCTCAACATAGCATACTGATTGAAATCCCTGCTACTCGTCTTGGCAGATGCAAAAAGCTTTGCAACTGCTAACTCAGGAATATCATTTTCCTGTATAAAATATAAACCCAATAGGTCACCAACTCTGAAGGTGATCCCATCAGAAAAAGGATTAATGCAACAATATAATTGAATTAAAACTACCAATGGGATATGATAAGTAAACTGGGTAGGTCACATCTTTTTACAAATCAAACCAAATAATTAATTCCACGAGGTTAGAACAGCCACAAATCATTATTAAATATTTCCGGTGTATCTGAATACTTCCAATACCCTATTTGAACCCTTTAAATCCATAAAGTTTTCCTTCTTGTGCTAAATAAGGTACAGAATATACCACCCTCACTAACATCTATTTTCTTGTTAACCAAACGAGATATGAACGAGAATTTAACTTCAACCAACTGCTTACAAGAACGACCTTATGAACCAAGGAAGAGAACATGCATGGCACAAGAGCCATTTTGGAAAGATATCTTATAAACTACTCCAAAAGGAGATGATTAAAAATGCAGCGAAATAGAGGCGCAAATGTTATCTACACCAACATTAAAGAAACTATGGAGGGTAAAAAAACAAAAAAGGTAGAACACTGGAGATCCAAGACATGCATTAATGAAACTTGAAAAATAATATTACAAATTGTTACTTAATGTTGCAGTTAATCTAACGTACAGTGCAACTCTTCACATAAATTTTATCAATCTTGGGAAGTAATAAAAATTAAATGAACAATGACAAAGAAAATATACAAGGATTTGAAGGACAATAATTTAACTTACTCTTAGTATGGTGTTCGTACCAAAAGGTGAACGTAGTTTTCCATAATGTTGACAGGCTATTCTAAGCAAGTAGAGAAGGAGTCTTAACCTTTCACCTTTCTTATAATCTGTGTCAGTTGATCCACAGTGTGCAATCCTCTCATCTATCCATTTGTACAACTCTTTACTTCCAACACTCCCACCAACCAATGGACCCGGGAAAGATTGTCGGCAGAGAGCACGAAAATAATCACCAGTGCCATTTCCAATGTTGGAAGAATCAATGTTGCTGGCGACAACTTCCATCAAATTTAACACAGAAACAGAGCTCTGGACAGTAGTCTTCAGATAAATGTGAATGCACAATGTTAATCATTGCAATAACCAAATGAAGCATCGATCAAAACTGAAAACACGAATCAAGAATTAACCTGGCTTCCATAGGGTGAGCTCGAAAAATTAGAATCTTTCATTACAATGAGTTTTCCACCAAATCCAAAGGTTACTAAGGCATGAGGAGGACGTCCAGCTGACGATCTTCCAGCATGCTGGGCATAAGAATACTGATCCCCACCCTGGAATGATTGCTGGGCCTGGGAATAAGTGAAGGATTTCTGACTTTTGGCATATTCATTTGAGAAATTATTTGGTCCATCAAACTGTGTATTTGAATAATTAAAATGTTGAGCAACATTCCCACTAGGGGCAAAGCTTTGCATTTCAAGAGTTTCATTAGCCAAATCATGATCATGGTTCACTTTATTGTACAATGGAACTGCTGTTAAGGATGTAGAATTATTTTGTTGATCTTTGTTGACAGAAATACTAGAACCAAAAGAATGGTCAAGTTGTTGGTTTCCACTAGAAGTTGTATTATCCCCACTTCTACTAGTAGTCTCAGTTTTATATGGGTACAAACCTTGTTGATGATTAATACCATATGAACCACTCCATCTATCATCTACAGCCTGACTACCAGCGCCCCATGACCCATAAGTTTCAGTAGAAGTAAAGTCATGCCCACTCTCATGTCCATGAGAAGCAGAGTGAATAAATGAATGGTAATTTTCTAACGAGAGCCATTCTTTGGCAATCATGTCATAATACCAACCGGGATACTGAGGGTCAAAAACCATATGTTTCGGATACCCATTATTCTCTTGTGAAACTTGATTCCAGCTTGATAAACTTTCAGCTAAATTAGTTCCAGCAACAGATTGCATAGTTTGTTGCATATAAGAGACCTTGGCTTTAGCATCAGAAGTAGTTGTCCAATCCGCAATTGTATTGGCTTCATTGCTTCCTCGAGTAGCATTATGGTCATCTACTTGATACCATTGCCCAGTGTTGTGATCATACTTCCATCCAGGATAAAGATTCTCCCAATATTGAGTGCTACTCAGATCTTGCCCATTTGCATCATAACCTTGACCCTCTTGATATTGCACATAATTAGCTGAAGAATTTAAGCCATCGTTTAAAATTTCAGTCCCAGGTTTCACCTCATTATTAGAATGATGACATGGTTTGCCAGATTGATCTCCCAATTCAGTGAAAAAGTCAGAATATGATCCAAACCCAACATTTTCATTTGAATCAGCATAAAAAGAATTCCATCCCACCTCCTTAACCTCAGAATTGGAGATTCCATTGCTATTGCTCAAACTCGAAGTCGACGCATTCTCCGATCCCATCCCATAATCACCATGATCAATCGCACTATCATCTCCCAATGAACTTTCCTCTTGTGCATTTCCACCATCCAATTTCACATCCTCTTCTTCCCGTTTATGCTCAGTCCCACTTTCTCTAGCATCGTCACCGATACCTGAATTTGCGATCGATTTCACGTCATCATGGCCACAATTAACAGGCTCAACATCATCCTTCTCCAGTTTATCAAAAAAATCCTCATCCGTCTGATCCTCCACGTGAAATGGAGGATTCGAAGCCATCACGGCAAAACCTGAACCCTTCTCAACCGCACCGGTTACCAATTTAATTGTTGAAAAATATTAGAATTGTTGTGTCCAGATCCAAATCCCCCAAAGCCTCGAACCCCAACCTCGATTTGAAGACACAGACAACCAAGACATATGCAGATTCTGAAATGCACACAATCCTAGAACCACACACAAATTTTAAAAAACAAATAAATAAAAAGCATTACCCAGAAACTTTGCAAACGCAGATTTCAGAGAATCAGAGAGAAAACAAAAGACAAGAGAGAGAGTGTGTAGTAAACAGAGGAAAGCCCTCAATTTCGCACAACCCCACTTACTATAGCGTTTTCTTCTTTTAATTTTAGATTACTATTTTCTTTTTTACTTTTACTTTTACTTGTTTTCTTCTCTAATACACTTGTTTTTTATTTTGTTATTTACATTTTACCGCCTCAAATCTATATTAATATATAAAAGAGATATTTTTTTTTTATAATTATCTTGATCTCTACTTTATTTCAACTATTATACTCTTTTATTTTAAAAATTAGAAAATTTTTTTTAATTAAATTTAAAAATTTGAAACTAATAAATTATTTTTACAATAAATATTTTTTATTTTCATTTTTACATGAATCATTTTATTTATTATTTATTTTTTACTAATTACTTTTTTATGAATAATTTCTCATTTTTTTTAATTTTTTTAATATAATACAAGCACGAAATGTATTTTTCTTGTTAATATATATAATGTAAATTATGTAATGCAATAATAATAATATATTATTATTATTATTATTATGGGTTAAAATGAAAAATAAAAATGGATACGTCATACGTGTATTTGCATGCAATTGCAACTTCATTTCCGGTTTTTTGCTGCAACGTTGCTTGTGTCGTTGGGCAAGGTCAAGGTCAAACACCTAACTACCTGTAGAAAGTGACCCAACACAAAATTAGAAAGATAATTGAGTATTATATAATTGGAAGAATTTTTATTCTATGCTTTTCAATTTAATTTAATAATTATAATAATAAGAAGTGCAATAAATAGTTCAAGTTTCATCAATGTTAACTTATTGATGCCAGTTCAACCATTGAAAGATTGAAACTACTTCTTATTAAACTAATACATGCACCTATATGTGACAGCAAATTGGGATGTGTTTGTTTGATTCATTTCGCATACAGTGGCTTATAAAAGATTATTTTATAGCTGTTATAAAATATATTGGACCTATTTAGGCTAAAGCCAGGAATTCAAGGATAACGACCCTCGTAAAAGTTAGGTGGTAGATTCGAGTTCGAGGTCTTTATCATTAAAGAAGTTGACATTAGAAAGTTAAGTATTTAATGAACAACTAATGGGTAGTCGCCCAATAAATATATATATATATA